GCTGCAAAGACCCCTTTTCCAAGTAAGGTAACATTTACAGGTTCTAGGGATAAGGATCTGATACCTTTGGGGAGTCATTATCAGTCTGTTGTAGATGGGGTCTGAGAATTTGTGTTTCTAACAAGTTTCCAGGTGATGCTGATGCTACTGGCTCAGGGACCACACTTTGAAAACCAGTGACCTAGTAATTTCCTGCTAACCCTTCAAAATTTGGCACGGAGTTTCTTTCCTCTACAAGGTCTTTCTTTTAATCCTGAGGTGGATTTGACCGCTCCTCCTTTGTATCCTTTCTCTGCCATGAACTTTCCCTGTCTCCTCTTCAGCTGTCACAAAATATGACATTTGTTGTTTGCAATTTTGTTGCATTTAACACACTGAAGGCCCTATCTTATTATTTTTACAGCCTAACATATAGTAGATGCTCAATAAACTCTCAGTTTTTGGAATTGAAAGACCAAAAGAACAAGAAGACATTCTTAAATCTATTCAGAGCTTCCATTGTTCAATGTGAAAACTGTCCCCAAGTGAGCAATGCCAGCTTACATCCTGATATCCCATTATTTTTTCATCATTGTTCAGGAATTAACAGTATTTTATTATTTCATTTTCATTGATTTAGGATCACAGAAAAATGCTGAGGGGCTCCAAAAGCTGGGCTTTGTGGGTGATTATTATTCCAACTATAATAGCTATTCTTACACTTCTCTTGTAAAAAGAACCAGCTCTAGGTGAAATTGTGAAGAAGGCCCAGTGTGTTTTAATAAGTGCTATTTGCCAGATTTCTCTCTCCACAAGTATCTTTTATTCCAGCTCTCAAGTCAGTCACTTGTTCCATGCTCCTTGCTCTGCCATGAGACTCCTGAAAGCAGAGGTGGGCCTTATTCAACTCTGAGTTCCCGCGGTACCTGGCACGGTATTTGGCACACAGGAGGGACCCAGCTAAGGTTTTTAAAATTTTTTTCAAATTTTTTATGCAATTTAGCTAGAGCTTGCTCTTCCACCTGTGTAGCTGGCATCATTAGTGTCTCGGATGCTAAAACCTTATTCCCAGCAGCTTTCTGTGGAACAAGCTGTAGAACAGGAGCTGTCCAGGGGAGAGTTTTCTTCTTTTGCCCTTCAACTTCTCAGACTTGAAAGGCTTCCCTCCCACTTTAGATTCCACACAGCCAAAGCTTATCCATGATTCACAGTTAATTGCCAATGTCCTCTCTCTTGAAAATATTTGCCTAAACCTCTTGATTAGAAATGCCTTCTTTTGCGGGGCACGGTGTATCACACCTGTAATCCCAGCACTTTGGGATGCTGAGGTGGGAGGATTGCTTGAGCCCAGGAGTTTGAGAGCAGCCTGGACAATACCGCAAGACCCCGTCTCTACAAAGTAAAGATAAATGAATACATACCTTTTAAAAAATGTATTTGTTCTTTCTCAACCCCCAAGGAACTCTGTCTACCACACATGTGACCTTGCATTCATTCTGTAAATATGTCTATGTACATAAAGCCACAGACCTCACATACTATAATTTATGTACTCATTTAAGTCTTCCATAAACCCCATGACAAAGGGGTTAATGTGAGCCCTCAACACGAAGTCAATATTAGTTTTGACATGCAGCAAAGATTGGATGCAGCACTTCAGTAAAAGAATGAGAAAAATAATTAAAAGTTAAAGAGAACTAAAATCACTATCCTACAATAACAAACATAATAACTAATATTTCTAGAGAGTTCACCATATGCCATACTCAGTGCTTTACATGTATTGTATCAACTAATTCGCACCACTCCCTCATGCAATATAAATAATCTTCTTTCCTCATGATCCTCAAGGGGAAAAACAACTATAGAAAAGCTCCCACAGCAGCAAACGGTGGCACTAGGATGTGAACTCATGCAGTTCACTTAGGCTCCACAGCCTATACCCTTAGATGAAGAATTTATTTTAAATCAAAATAGAGCATACATAGAGGAAAATGTGCAGCTTGATGAATTTCCACACAGTGAAAATGCCTGGGTAACCACTACCCAGAACAAGAAATCAAACACTATTAGCATGACATAAGCCACCTCATGCTTCTTCAGTCATTGCCCCCTCGGTTACCCAGAGGTAATATCTATCCTTTCTCCTAACAGCATCATCAGTTAGTTTTTGATTTTTACTAATTAGTAAAACTATTATTTGATCTTTATATAAACATATAATATTCTTTAGTTTCTAATCTCCACAGTGCAGTATTATATTTGTAAGATTCCTCCATGGTGCTATATATGGTTATTGTGTTCATTCATATTCATTGTTAATAGTATTCCATTGTATGATTATTCCATAATTTATTTATCTACTTTTTTGTTGATGAACATTTGTGGTGTTTTTCGAGCTCTTTGGCAGCACAGATGAATGCTACTTTTAGTATTTGTATAAGTATCATCTTGGTACTTATATACACGTTTCTGTGAGGCAGACTCTTGGGGTGGGGTCCATGGGTTATAGGGTACGTACATGTCCAACTTTAGTAATACTGTTCAACAAGTTTATATAGTGATCACACTTGTTTATATCCCTACTATAAAATATATAATATATATTAAAGTTCCAGTTGTTTCATATCCCCACCAACATTTGTTATCATTAGTTGTTTCAAATTTAGCCACTCCTGTAAATCACACCTGTACATTCAACTACGAAGTTGTTCTGCCTCCTGTATTACGTGGTCCTACACTTTTCTAAGAATTTATCACAGACTACAAATCAAAGAATCAGCTTGCATTGCATATTTCAGTTTTCCTTTTCAACCCTGCTTTTGTGCTTCCCTTCTGTATCCTTTGACTCTGCTTTTCCACAGTCTTTCCCCTAAGCTCTCACTTGTGATTCCATGGCAGTATTATTGGCTATCTATAATTATGATCTACTATTTATTAAATTTCTAACATTATCATCTGACTGAAACTTATTAATTCTTTAAATACCCATGATATGCTTGCCTGGGCAATGTCATGTCAAACAAGGTTTATTACTGCAGCTTGGAAAACTCAATCTATATAGTGCAGTTTCCTTCAAATGACGATGACTGCAATCTTTCATCCCCTGGTGTAGATCAAGGGTTGACATGTGGTTTCATCACTTACTAGTGAAGGCATCACCTTTATGCCTCAGGTTTGTTTGTTTATTTACATATGTATTTTTGATATGTAAAATAAAACCTTCAAAAGCATCACCTCCTGGAGCTAATGTAAGGATGCAATGAGATAATATTAGTAAATGATCTGGTATATAGAAATAATCAACAGATATGAATTATTATTATTATTAAACTCTGTGAGGAAAGCACCATTATTGTCTCCATTTCGCAAACAAAGAAATGGAAACTTAGAGAAATTGAACTTGTAATCATACAATCCACATTTGATAGAGATGAGATTCTAACCCAGCCTTTTCCAAATCCAGAATGAGTGTTACCATTAGTCAGTCTGGCAGCTGTATCATCTGTATCTTTACTGAAATCATGAATGCAATGTCAACAGGACAGAACTTTCAGGAAAGCTAGTCAAAACCTCCTTTCAGTTGATTTCAGACAAGGTAATTGGGTTTCTATGAGAATGGTCTTTCAACCAGATTATCCTTGCTCCATCTTTAAAATATGCAATGCAGAGAAACCTAGCACATGCTTTACTAAAACCTCATCTACTTCAGTTCTATAAAAAATGGAACTAATGGTAATCTTCCATGATTCTGTGTGTGTGTGTATGTGTGTGTGTGTGACTGAGACAGAGAGAGAGAGAGAGAGCGAGAGCATTTTATTTCCTTAGTTCTTAGTAATTACTGCATCATTTCCTAAGTGTTATCCCTGTATTTATCCTTTTTCACTTTTGGGAACTATTAATAACCTAAAAAAGCATGTTAGGTCATTCCTCTAAGTGAAAGCCAACAAGATGAGGGTAAACACATTGCAAAGTAGGAGAGTTGGTTTCTAATAGCTTTCTAGCAAGATATCATAGTCATGTTGATAACATCTTGATTCAGAATGATCCAAAAGCAGCTATGGAGTGGTTGAGTAACAGTAACTGGAAGTTAGGTGGACCATGTTTTAATTCTAGTTCATGAGCCAATAAGCTCTGTGCAAGCCAGTTTTAGAATTAAATCTAGAGTCCATTTTTGGTAACATCAAAATTTCTAGAACGCTTCCCCTAATCAAATTTTGGGAAAAATAAACTCTACACTTAGAAAGGTCCAGAATAGTGCTAGGATCCAACTTAAGATCACTGACTTAATTAAATCAATAAACATTTAGTAGATGTCCAATATCCAATACGTAATAGGAAATGGAGATTAAAAGGCTAAATAAGTTATTATCCTTGACCTTGAGAAGTACACCACATAATGGAACAGAATTATATGGAAGCAACTAATTAGTACGCAGTGGAGTAAGTCTATAATAAAGTTAGCTACAAGGTGCAAGATATGAAAGAAGAAATGCAGTCTTCATCTTTTTATGAGTAACAAACAAAGAGCTTTGACCTGGTCATTTAAAATCCATGGATTATAGACTCAAACCAGGAGAAGTAGGGACCAAAGGGAGGCCCAAACTTTACTTGCATGAAATCTTGAATTGCACCCCACATCTTTAAAATAGGACAAAATTTTTTTTTTTAATCCATGGATTGGTCCAAAGTCCATTCCTAATACCAAAGTCATAATATAGAGCTTCCCATTCTCCAAACTTTTGCCTTTGTGACTTTCCAGTATACTGTTAAGTAATGATAAGATCATTAATGATCCAATGAGTCAGATAATGTATTAGCATCTCTAACGTTTAACATAAGTACAAAACTGATGGAGTACATTTTTAGGAGCATGGCGTATTCTTTAAGTCAACTAGTTAGCTTCATATATCAACAATATGGAGAACACTCCTTCTCAGGAGTTTCTGTGATCTTAAAACAGAAGGACTTCAGGGCTTCCAGAAGTCCTTTTTACAAGGTACTGGAGACGACTTCCCTACCTGACATCTGCAGGGTCTTCTGTGACAAGTACATCGGTCTTGCAACTGGCCAGGGGATTGATGGACAGCTCCACCGGCGGAACCACAAAACTTTTGCTGACAGGAAGCCAGAGGCCTTGGCCCAAGCTGAAAGTAGACCTGTAATGTAAGAGTTTCCATTGGGGAACTCCCTGGGAAGCAGAGAGCAAATAGAAAAAGGGGCCCTTGTTCCCATCCCTTTTAGGACATTTTCTGACTTTTCCACCCGAGTGAGTCCCCTCAATGTTGGCACATTGTTGGCTAACTTTATCTAGACTTGAATGATCATTTCTTAAATCTGTTAATCATTTAGTCCCATGCATTATTTTGTATTTCTAGTTTTCCTGAGCAAACAGTGGACTTTATGAAGACAGGGACTATTTCAGTTGTGCTTTCCCAGCAGTCCTGGTATCCAGCAGGAGTTTCATAAGAGACTGCTAAGTCAGCAGGGGTAATCTGGCACAAAGGTTAAGAACATGAACTCTGAATTTATATGAACCAAAATCTGATTTTCAGTTCTGCCACTTAATTTACTGTATGTCTTTATCTGCCTAAGTATTGAAGTGTCACACGATATTTCATGGAGGCAAGAAGAGGTTCTATGGCTACAGAATATTTGTAAACCACTGGACTAGCTAATTAGTAATGTCTCCTCCAGATCAAGTATCTGAGTCTGTAAGTCTAGATGCCATGCAAATGGGAATTAGGTTCCATAGCAACCTGGGCTTTAGTGCCAATGAGAGTTATCTTGTACTCAATGTAGCCCAGAGGTGCACAATCTTGATAGTCTGTGGATGTATGACCACACCTTCCTGTTAGACTTTTCTCCATTTCCCAGAATTATAACCCAACAAGACTGTCAACTCACCTGAGAATCTTTTCGGGGGCTTGCTCCCCTGTCACCAGATCATAGCCCCTCTCAAGTGTTGTATAAGGCCAAGGCCTATGGGAAGAAGAAAAGGGGAGAGGAGATGATAGTCAGAAGTGGGTGGAATTTACATGTGGGCACTACTCAAGAGTAGCTTTACAAATAACCAGATTCCACAGAAGTAATTATTGGGCAAGACTGTTTACATCATAAAATTATGTCTTCAATTTACAGAAGGAGCCAATACTTTTATATGGTATATATGTCCATGTAGGAGTCTATGTACTATGATTTTCGTTTTTTTGTCAGTCCACTTAAGGAAGTGTTCATTGATTGTTTTTTGTTTAAGCAGGTGACTTAAACATCAGCCTTTGTTCTCTAGAAGACCCATCAATGATGTACCTTTAATACTAAAATGTGATTCAGTAGACAAGGAAATTCTTCTCCCATTGAATTTTACAGAAATACAATTGTTGCAGAGAAGTGCTTTCTGTGTGGAGATGCTTGGAGCCTCTGGTAACAAAACAGAGTAGGTAGGGCTAGGTCCTCTACTGTTCCAGTCTTAATGTCCTTCGCTACTCACCCTTCACTCTGTCCCCAGTCACTACGCATACAGAGGTGTTTGTGAATGGGGTCAGGGACGTAGCCTTCGTGACAGCTGCACTCTCCTGTAAGCAAAAAGAAAAAGAGTCTTGTCATATAGGGATTCCCTAAACAGGCTTTCCCCTAGTTTCTTTGTTTTCCTGGTAAATAAAGTAAGCTGCCTAGTATTTTAAAAAGTCATGTGGAAAGAGGGTATCCTCATCCATCGACCACTATGAGTTTGTTCATTTATTCATTCACTTATCTATTCATTCAACAAGACTGGCCACACTCTGCCAGGCTCTCAGCTTGGCACTGAAGGTACAGAGGTAAGTCAAAGTTGCAACCCAATCTCTGAAGGAGCTTGCAACTTAAAACAGGAAAATAGGAAGTGACCAGGTGCTATAAATGAAGGTCTTATTTTTAAATATATAAATTATGATAAAGTACATTTACTCCAAAAGTACACTTAAAAATTTGAATTCTCTCCACCCGAATAAATAGGACTGTACCATTTATAGACCCCAAATTAAATGCCATCTTCTTCAAGAAACCTTTGATTTCCCCTCTTAAAAAATCATTTTTACCTGTAGCTTCTTGTTTTATTTCATTTTGGGTTTTGGTTTTTAAATTAGTTTCCCTCTCCTATCCTTCCTTCTCCTGACATCTTGTTTCTTGTTCTCTTTGTTCCTTTTCTCTCCTCTTGTTTTTGTCCCACTCTTCCCATCCATCCATTCATGCATCCACCTATCCATCCATCCATCTTTTTCCCCCTGGCCATGCCTTAAGCCGGGTTGCATGAATGCTTGTTACCATTTCACACTGCCTTAAGTATATTCTCCCATTGGCCAAGTCCATTTCAGTTGGCCAGTACATGTCCCATTTCCTAGTATATTTTCAGTGTTCAGAATCCTAGAAAGGTTTTTAGAAGCTTTCTATCCTACTTCTTGTTGTTATCACTTCTGCTCTACTGCATGTTTCATAAGATAGGAAATTTTTTTTAAACAATGAGTTATCGGCTTTTTTCCTAAGGTGTATTTGTGGAATGATCACAGATGTTTTTCCCAAAATAGATTCTATTAAAAAAATAAGTTTAGGAAATATATACCATTCCTTAGAACTAGTGCAGTGTAATTCTACATGAGGGTGATATATACACAACTTTCTCCAAACTTATTTCACCTTGGGAGCACGCTTGTGGAATGACTCATAAGACTGGCATTCTGTGAAACACACCTTGGGAAATGCTGGTATGAACTGACCTGGTTTAGCCTACTTTCTAGAATAGAGATTGTGCTCAACAATTAGTTGAATGAATAATTCACTATCTATTATGGTTCTGGTAATTTTCCAGGCATTGTTGTTGGCTGACTTGTCTTCTTTCTCATCTTCTGGTGATCACATTCATATACACTCACACACACAGAAGAACCTGCAACTTTTTAATCTTATAGTGATTCTGATTGTCCTGATTCAAGAGTTTTCAAATTGTATCCATGGAAATGTACTGTTCAATAAGGAGATTTAGGGACTATGCAAATTTTACATTTTAATTTTTCTTTAAAATTTTTAGTTTTTAAAAATAAAAAAAGGAGAAATAAACATTCAGATGCCACATGCCAGAATTTAGGATACTAGAGAACATCGATTGTCAGGTAAGCTTATTTTGCACAGACTCCAGGAAAAAAACAAATTGTCTCCTATTGTCTTTGTTTAATTGAAAAGGATACTGAAAATAAGTTGAGGTGCCAATAAGTTTATGCTATTTGCAACTACATATCTTGTGAATCAGGATTTTCTTAACCTTGTGCAACCAAAACAAAATATAGTAGTGAATAGGACATAGGGCTAACAGAGGTTCTACAACTTTACCCATTATTCCTGCTTTCACCTGTTTGTATTCATCAAATCACCTTACTCTTTTCACTAATGAAATGTTACACATTTGACCTTATATGAAGAATTCCGAAAGTTTAGAAAACACTCTATCTTGTTTTATACATTGTACTGTTGCTTAATCTTTGTACTCCAAGCACCAAGTTAAGAATTTAACAATTAACCTGGGCGTCACAAATTTTAGTTGAACTAAAATGGTAGTAGGACAGAATATGCAGTGAAGGACAGGTCAGAGATAGTATTCAAGATAGCTGAAATAAGGGTGTTCTTCTTGTTATTGTAGGAAGACACAAAGAAAGACAGAAGAGATGTACCTTTCCTCTTCTCTGCCTATCTGGAGGGGATTACTCACAAGCAGGAATACACTCTGTACCCCTTCCTTTTGTTATCATGAGTGGGAGTGCTGTAAGACTGTGCAGCCTAGTGGAAGGACTGTTACCAGAGGTAAGGGAAATGGAGGGAAGAGGCTGAGAGTCTTGAATCTGGATGGGAATAATTTACCAAAGGGGGAGGGGTATGAGCCACTAATGATATGTTAAAATGCAACAGTCCATTCATGAAATATTCACCACTTTAAACATGTCTAATATTAAAGATTAAAAGTCCTGGGATTTGTCCTCGAGACTCCCAGGACTGATTTATGATCTGCCACAAGTCACAGGCCTCATGATTCATAATGGGAGAGGTAAAATGGTTACCTCTGGCAAAAAAACAGGAAGTCAGGCTAAGGTAGGAAAGGAGGGGTGAGCAAGGAGAGTCTCTATTCTTTATGGAAAGGGTCTTCATCTTCTCTTCTCTAGGCAAAACTGAGGTTTCTATACCTCCTATCAGTGACTTTGCAGGAAATAGCACAGTTCACTTTTTTCCCTTTTCTCTCTTTTTAGGAATATTGGTGAGAATGAGAAATCTATTCAGAAAAAGGGTACTGTTATATTTTTTCTTTCATCCTTGTGTGCTTACTTGCCAAGTTTTCCCTGACTCAGAATGGATTATTAACTACTGACACTCATACACAATGAATGTGTATTTTGCAATTAAGAGACATCCACCCTGGGAGGACAGGAATTAGGCAGAGGGAAAAGCCCATGAGTACTGACAGCAGACAGACCTGGTCCTAACCTCATGTTCTCTCTCCTAGTTGTGTGGCCCTGGAGAAGTCACGTTTCTTGGTTTCAGTGTTCTCATCTATAGAATAGGAATGATAGTGACGTCTATCTCACAGAGTTGATGTAAGAACAAATTGACATAGTGAAGAGCAAAACCCGTGGATCAGGTAGACAATGAGTTGATGGTCAATAAATAAGTGTCCTCCCCTTTTCCTTTAATTCCAAGATGACTGCTGGGTTCTGGTATATGGTCACTCGTTAATTCTAGAGATACAAATAACTACCTCCTCTCTGGACCTTAGTTTCCCTATCTGCAAAATAGAAGGTTGTAGTAATAGATAGTTCATCAATTCTGAGCACTAAGAGTCAGCTGTTTGCATTGCTTTTCCAAATTTCTAACTTCTGCTCTCCAGCCACTGTTTTAGTGTTTGATCACTCTTAGCAGTGAGCTGGGTGTCTCTGGCAAGATCTCCATCAGTGCCATGGCTATTGGTTTTATTGACTCCTGTTTCCTATTTTGCTAGCTCAGCCTACTCTCCACTATTTGCAATCAAGTATTTCCTTCTTGCAAGATGAAAAGTCTCTGACAGTCAGAGCTGAGGGTTATTAACCTCTTCCCTGGGAGAGTCCTTTCTTCAACTCTGCCTCTGCACACCCAGGGCAGCCAGGCCTTCAAAGAATATGTCAGTATGCTAAGTGTGGATGCCTGTGTGCCTTTGTCCCTATCACTACTATAGAAGTTCTTTAATGGTATGTATTGAACACATCTTGCCCATCATTGTATTCTAGCACCCTGCTATAGGGCAGGGATTCAGTAGATAAATGTTAAATGAATTAAGGGCTATAGTTCACAGTAGTAGCACCTATGCCAATGAGATTGGGAAATACTTTGTACTTGCCTATTCCACACGAAACTGGAAATTTCTTGATTGCAGAAACCTTTTCTCAATCATCTTGTATCCCAATAATTAGTATAGTTGTCTGATAAAGAGCAGGCAATTCATTTGTTGAATGAATGCATGAATTAGTGAATTCATAAATATTTGTGATTGCCATGAATTCAGGCTGAGTTCACTTAGAATAATAATGATTCTTCTAAGAAGTGGAAGAAACTTTCTTACATCTAAGACAGATATTTGCCAAGGAGACAAAGAGTGTAAACACAAGTGTTGACAAAATGTCTAAAATAGAATTCTATTTCACATCAGAGAAGAAGAGGTTCTTAAAGATCTTCCCAGTTTCATTTTTCAGAAGGGGAAACTCAAGCTCTGAGAAAAAAGGGATTTGGTCAAATCACTAGCCTAGCCTCTGGGCTAATCAGAATTAACACCCAAGACTTTTGGCCAACACCCCAGTTTCTTTTTGGCTGCACTGGTGGTGTCAATACTTCGGTGCACCCTGAAACCTTTTTAAGCAATTATTTTTGTACTCTAACATTTCTGTGTTTCCTAAAATGAGTCTATTACATTTGTTAACAGGTATTATAAAAAGTAAAATGATTTGAAATATCCTTAAGCACATTAAAAACATACATTTATATGTGGTTAATAATGGAGACCTAAAAAAAGAGTTTACTCTCTTCATTAAAGTGGTTCTCATAAGATAATTCAATTAGGTGAATTTCTATCTGGCTAGTTACTAGAACTCTGTGTTATCAGCTATAGATGAGTTGCTTGGTTTTAAATATCTCCTTTTTGTGTCTCCTAGCTCTCATTTGTCGAGTTCTTATTCTATGGTACATGCATTTTCATTTCACAAAGTCTTGAGTAAAAACAACAGAACCCCTTGATCATGAACATTCTGAGTTTATCTTGCATGTTGTTCTTTCAAGTCACTTCAAAATGGATAATGCCTTCTTGTAAATCACATAAGACCAGTGGGTTGGCGAAATGGTTCAGAGCACAGGACTTGAAATCATCTTGTGCTGCATTCAAGTCCTGGATCTGTCACTTAAAGTTTGTTAAGAACCAGATCAAGTTGTTTCCTTTCTCTGAGCATATCTCCTTAGCTGTAATGAAGCTGATATCATGTATCTACTGGAAGGATCAAGTGGTGGATTTGAAAAATCTTCAGCAGCGTCTTTG